TATATATATATATATATATATATATATATATCCATAAAAAACACACGAGGAATTGGAGTAATTTTCATTTGTTCAAGTACATACATTCGAGTGGATAAAACGGGTGTTATCTGGTTCTTTAACGTCCTTAAAATTGTCCTTTTTATTTTTGTCGTACAACTTTTATTGACTTTGAATTTAGATGAAAATAGGCACCGATTTCAATCGTGTCATTCTCATATGAGTTGGTGATCTCACGCCGCTATATATATATATATATTTTTTTTTTTCTCAAAATTTTCAATTTCTTTTATTATTTTTAAATAATGGGGCCCATACATATCTAGTCGTACAGTCATGTTTGACCAAAATTGTGTTGGATTCATATATTTTATTATATAAAATTTTTGGTTTGATTTAAATTCTTATGCATAATTCTACGATTTGATTCTTTTATCTTATATTTCAATTTGGTGTAGTTTAATTTCTGCGTTCAGCATATAAAACTAAATAAAATTATGTAGAAATTTTTAGAGGAATTAAAAAATCGAGTTGAGCCAAAGATGAAATATTCTTTGAACTAAAGAATGATTAGAATTGATAAAATATAAAAAATACTAATTAATTATAATGGATGGTTACAAATATGGGATTGAGAACATATTAATTTTATCACAATTACTGAAAAATGGTTCCTTTTATTTTGAATTATATTAATTAAATTGGATAGAAAAAATTTCAGATAAAATAATAATATAAATATATAGGATGTGGTTCAAATGAGAACAAAGTCGTAGCGTGAGAGCCGTCAGAACCGCTATTTATTATTGTGCGTAGTGTTATGATTGATTGTGTTTTAGTGCTATTTTTAACATGGATCTATTTTTTTAAAAATAGCAACACAATTTATATTAATATTTGTGAAAATGATAGATATTAAAAATAGCATCATACACAATAAAAAATAACATCAAATACGGTTCTCACAGTTCTCAAACTAGTTTTTATTTGAACCACTCCCTATAAATATATATAGTTAACCATTTTAATAAAATAGATCTTATTCGTCCGATCAAAAATAAAGTTATTTAATATCCAATCATTAATAATTAAATAACAATTATAACGGAGGTGGGACAAGATTAAAAATACAACACTGATAATAATTTATTGTTATTACAAATATTGGTGAGTAAATCTTACTTTTAATAATACTAATTAAAATGGAGAGGGGAACTTTAAAGTAAAGTAATAATAACACTTTTTTAAAAAAATATTATATATATATTAAATCACAGTTTTAATAATATAAGTCTCACTCATCAAATCAAAAATAAATTTATTTAATATGCAGTCACTACATACAATGTGATTTTCTCAGCTGATTCTTACATGTTAAAAAAGTCATAAATTGAACCGTGCCCAAATCGTGTGATAATTTGAAATCATATTAACAAAGTAAACGATGATCGAAATCAAATCAATTTCTTCATACATTTTTTTCCTATTGGCCTGAAATTTATCACGAAATTCAAACTTGTCACTTTCCTATAAATTTGCGATCTCACGCCGTGTTTCCCCTTTTTATTTTTTTTCTAATTTAATCCAATCAATTGATGATGAAATCGTGTGGTTATAACAAGATACAATCATTTTTGTTTACCAAAATATGAAAACAATTTACAACAAATTGATTAAATGCCATTTGGGTTAATCTCAATTTTTTTCTCATTGTCTTAGTTCAAATTGATTGACCTTGACCATTGAGAAGATTATTTTTTTTTTCTTTCATGTAAATAAAAATGTGTTTCAATGTAGATGATAAATTATAAGAATAAGTCGAGTTAAATGTTAAATTAACGATTAGATGTCATTAACATATGGTATTATTGAGAAATTAATACAAAAAATTGTAAGAAAATGAATGAATGTAATAATACTTAGTGATTTAGTCTTTTAATAATGAATATACAACTAGCATCAGATTATGTTCACCTACCCAAATATATTCAAACTATTATAATTAAGTTATATATGCATATCATATAAACATTATAAGTTATATAATGATTTTATAATTTTAGATTTTGAACCTCAGTAAAAATACCAGTACAAAAATTTAACTCCATATAAGTTTTGGATCGATTGAATAAAATATAATGAATAATGTAATTTTATAATTTTGAGTAATCATATGATCAATTAATTAGTTGAAAAAAATATTAAATTTACTAACATCAAAACTGCTTATGTGATTTTAAGGGTTTTGACTATTCTATTAAAACGAATTAGTTTATCTTAAAAGAACCACTTAATGAAATAAAAAATATATATAATATCGATTTTAAAATAAATTAATTTGAAGCAAAAAAGTTTTTACAATGTTATATTTTATATTTATGTAACTTTCATATACCAATTAGTGTAATATAATTAGTTAGTTTTAATAATAATTATTATATGGGATGCCATACTGAGTTGACAAGACTCGAGAAACAACTTGACTGAACGGGGTATACTGACAGGTCGAACAGAAACCGAAGACACTACAGATCTAAGAGTGCTCAGATTGATAAGGACGTTGTGAATTCAAGGAGCACAGACAAGTCGAACTATGGACCTTGGATGGTCTTGATTGAAACTCGACCTGAAGATATGACTATCCGACTATCGACCATATGAGCAGAACATACGAGCTTAGCAAAGGCAACAATCCATCTCGATATAATTGGGGTTTGTTGCACAATTAGATCGTGTAATAAGGAAGACTAATGAATAATAACAAATATTATTGGTTCGAAGGCTCTAATGCTGGAAAATCCCCGGTGTTGAGTTTGTGTATGTACTGAAGGTCATCTACCAACAAGGAAGACAATTCAGGTCGAACCGAGCCTGTGTGATATCTATTACATACCAAATATAATAATTACAAAAAATATAACTATTACTCAATTAATATAAAATGTTATGGTTTGTCATAATTAATCCAACAATAATAACAAAAAGTAAAATAATTTTCTATATTAAATTATTTGCCCCTCGTTATAGAGATATAGATGTGAAAAGGTTGAATTAGATACAAGAGTACAATTGCGAATTTTATAAATTGCATTGATAACAAATTAACCTTACAAGTTTTAGGTCCTCATACATTCATACAATGTATGCAGCCAAAATAATGTGAAAAATAATAAAATTGAAAAAAAAAAAAAANTCTTAAAAAAAAAAAGAGAGAATATGAAATCTAATTTAATTTTTACATAATTGTAACCTTATCTACTTACTCTATTGCATAAAAATAAGATAAACGAGTACGCACGGTCGTGAATTTTCTAAATTACATTGATATCAAATGAACCTCACAGGTTTTTAATCCTCATACATCCATGCAATGTACATAGTCGACAAAATAACCATATTTATATAATTGTATGCTATTAATTTAATATTAATTTTATGCTTTTTTTTTTTCATTTATTTATGCAAATTGATCGATGCATTTTGGATTTATAAAGTATAATAATACTTTTTAACTTATTTATAATAAATAACTATCAACATTAACTAAATATAAATTCACACAAAAAATATAAGAAAGTTATACACTCATATTTTTTTATCAATTTTTTTTCAAGTTATTTTGTTTAAAATTAGTATTTCATTTTATTTTTATCTTATTAAGCTTTAATTTTTTTAATAACTAGTTAGTTTTAATGACATAGCAAAGTAAGCCCCTTAAAACAGTATAAATAATTATTATTTTAATAGCATTTAATATTTTTTAATTAAATAATTGGTCATAATTAAATTTATGAAAAAAAAAATATTTTCATTTTATGTCATATAATATATATATATATAAGTAAATAGTATATTTCATTTCTGCTAATGATTAAATTTATAAAATGTGATATGTATATCATGTATTTTATGATTAAAAATATAATATTCATATATATAATTTATTTTTATTTACATA